TGGGATTTATTTACCTTCTATAATTGAAACTTTGTAGCCTTGAGTGGAGCTCAGAGCTGGCCAGGGCGGGTGGGAAGCCTGGTTTCCTCCATCGCTAGGGGCAACCCAAGCCTCCTGCTCGCTCCAGCTCCTTGGCTGCCGGCCACCATCTTGGTTGTGTTAATTTGCATATAGTCGCTCTGATTGGCTGGTGGGCGTGGCTTATCACATAGCAAAGGTGGGGTCAATTTGCATGTTTGTCTTTTATTAGTGTAGATGATATTAGGTTAAGTTTCTAAGGAAGTGACAGAATAAAACACCGATATTAATTGTCAATCCTAAATGACTTTACCCGTTGCAACTGAAACTTTCAGTGAGGTTTCTATTCATAAGTACAGTTGATTGCTGCTTTTACGTAGATTTATTCATGTTTTCCATTTAGAATCTTTAAAATTTTTGTAAGTTCCTTTAAAGAAGAAATAATTCACATATGAACAACATAAGCACTGAGCTGATAATGATCCTCTCACCCATCTTGGATTAACTGAGGAAGTATTACAATTGACAGTGATGTTTTTCCTGATAAAGCCATTTTATAAAATGGCACAATATAAATTTTCCGCATCAGAATTAAAGATGGGAGAATCAGATTACAATATATTTTGTGAGGAAAACATGTTTGTTTCTCAAAACAGTGTTTTCAATCATTTTACAAGCTAACAATTTTTTAGAGAGCCAGACAAATTTAAATGAAGGAACGATTATTTCTAGATGTTAAGAGAATGAGTACATACAGTAAATTTTGGTTGATCCTTAAGCAATTTTTGTAGGAAGTTTATAGAAAACCTAGCTCAATTTCAAGATTGTGTTTAACAGTAAAGGTAGAAATAGAGGCTAGGCCTCTGATTCTCAGTTTAGAGGATAATAGGTGATATTGTCCCAAAAGGGAAAAAGAAATTTCTTTCTTTTGGTAGATAATGTTAGTAAATTATTTTTGAAATACCTAATATGACTTCCCTTCGAAATCTTTGACATTTGTGAGTCTTTAGAGACTAAGGTTTTTAGTTCTATCCCCAACCCTCAATATAAAAATTCAGGGGAGCTAGTTTTTAATTCAAAGAAAAAAAGGTTAATCTTAATTTTAAAGTAACATGAGTTTTATTCTGCACTGTTACATAAACCAATTAGATAGCTGTGAAGTCCTTTGAAATACAACAGAGGCCATTATATCTCATAAGTTTCGCACATGCATCTGCAGTGAGATTTATATGACTAGAATTTACCCCACACTTTTGCAAAGTAAAAATTTAAATGTCTCAGTCTAATTTTTCATAAGGCCAGCTATTCAAAATATCAAACTTATTACAGAGAGATGATGATTAACCTCACTTATTGTTTGCTATGAAGTTAGCCCCAGATTCAAGTATTTTTAATATTTATCCCACGTCTTTGTACTGGCTGAGGTGAAAGCTACAAAATTTACATAACTCTGATTGGCATTTTCCCCTGTGTATATTTTTGGTCACCAACTTCTACTCTCATATGCAATCTTAAGAGATCAGGTAGTTTTATGTAGTCATCATATAGTAGCTTAGAACATACCATGTAAAAGTAAAATTATTTTCAAGTTTCTTTGTTTTTATTTTATTTTAAATTTATTTTATTG